AGGCATATCAGATGTAATGAAATCAAATCTTCTGTGGAGAAAGGGAAGAGCGACATCTCGAGGCAGCCTGGCCGAGACGACACCCCTCAAAGCCCTTAGCAATGTTGATAGGTAATAGAATAAAAAAAGCATTACTGTCACACTTAAATATAGAAATATACACTGTTATTTGCACTGCTACAGCCAACGATCCATATGGTAGGAAAAGTTTAAGCTGAGATCTTCCTGTTACTCTTCCCTCTGCATTTAGACCTTCAGCACTGCTCTGCGTCTTCTTCTAGACCCTCTATAGCGCTGAGTTACTGGTGACTAACATACAGGATAGATGCTTTGGGTATCTTCCTGCACAACACAGAGAGAAGACTGGAGTCTGTCAGTGGATATTTGGCTTCAGCAAGGCCAAAACGTCACTTCTGAGCAGCTTCAGAGGTTTTAGCAGTTCTTATTGAGGTGTTCACATAAAGATGTTGATGCATATAGAGCAGAGGTAATCTTTAAGGAGATATCTCTTTAAGGAGACAAGGAATCTCCAGTTCTTTGTATTAAATCTGTGCTGGTTTTGTACTTCAGTCATTCCAGCAGTTCCTGTCATCGCAATGGTGAATTTGCATAAAGAGCCGCTCCTGTCTCAGCTGCTAAACTCCACGCCTGTCTGACCGCTGCTGTTGCTGCAGTACGGGCACAGCTGCGGCCGCGCAGCAAGAGATGCGAGCTGTGGGCACCGCTGATAAACGGATGAAACAGGCACGAAGCGCGCTCACAGGAGGAAGCCAAGGCGACTGTGCTGAAAGGCGCAGAGAAGGCTTCACCCACGCGTAGTTAACAGATGCTTCACAGGCTTACCCGCAGTGAGTGGTTTGCTGACAACTACCAGGAAAAGAAAATCTTTAATCTGATCTTAGATGGAAATTTATAGTCAAGGTATAATGGATTTAGTGGGAAGGATGCTACTGTTTCATCGCCTCCAGGAAGAGGTCTCCATACATGAAGTACACAGAGCATAAACTATAGAGAACTTTACAATGCATTTCCTCTCCTTCTTCCTAGCAGTCAGACTAAAGCATCATGAGGAATAAGTGAGGAGATGCTCAACATATTTTATTTGTTGATGGAAGGAAGATGAAAGTCTGTTGCCACTGGTGGGGGAAAGAAGCTAGAGTATGTGATGAGAAAACCAAGCTCTATGGTATATTCAAGCTCTATTTGTTTTATTGCAAGTCTACTGAAAACCAGGCTCTATTGTTTTATTCAAACAATAGCTAAAATATTGTATTAGGAAATAAACATATACAAGCAAACTGCTGTACTAGAATGTGTCACAAGCTTTTTATACAGATTCACAGTGATAAATAGATACAAAGACATTCCCTTCGATCTATACCAGATACTTACAAAGAATACAAAGTGCAGCTTTTTAATATTATACAGTCTCCCTCAGAGGTGTTTCACCTAGAAGGCTTGTACATAAACAACTTCTTTTAAAACAGAAGTTTCCAAAGTGTAACAAGCACTAAAATTGCTTAATCCAGACCACTAGGACAGCGTTGTTGGCACGGGCTCCTTTCAATGTCCATTTCCACCTTCTGAGAGTATGCGTGATGGCTCGGTGTACTTCGCTGTCAGTAAGTAGAAGAGGGCAGGGGCAGGTACCAAGGCAAGCAATGGGAGGTCCTGCTCGAGCTTATCCAGTTTGGAAATGGAGATGATTCCATAGGCATGAAGTAACCAGTGGCTGAAGAGGACAACAAGTCTTTTCTTCCTGACAAGAAGATCCTTGAAAGACTTGCAAAACAAACACAGAATCCTGTTAACATTCAGCCCGTTACCTAGCTCCCGATGTTTAAGAGATGTTATAGGTTGTGCACAGAGGCTGTGTGAAGCCTGCTGGGTTTGAGCCCTTCCAGCACATAACAGTTTCTCAGTGCACCACAAGAGGGAAGTCTCGCAGGAGCTTCCTCCAGCTAAGAGAATTCATAAAGGAAGAGGCTTAAACGCAGAATATGCCACTGAGAAAAGGCAAGAGACAGAGTGGTCTCTGCTCGTTTAAGTATTTTATATTATGAGTTTTAACATAGGAAACATGTTTACCTACCTCCACTTCAGAAGCAGACATGTACACAGCCAGCGTGACCAAAGACAACACCAGTATGATGTAAGGGAAGGCATAATCTAAAGGCAAACATTGAACACGTTAGCAGGAAAAAGAATGCATTATATATATTTCAGCAGAGAGTGTTTTTCCACATATAACCATGAGTGTGAAGTAAACTAAGCTATTATAGCCCACCTTTTATCATCACCTCAAACATGCACAGCAGTAAGGGTCAGCCAAGCACAACTATTCAACAGTTCTGTCTTTGGTTTTCAAATTTAGCTTTTGTCAAATATAATGGATGCAAGTATTTCTAGGTGGAGTTACTGTACACTTAAATCACTAATTGAAAAAGGCAGATAATGAGACAAGTAGGCTGAGCGGGGATTTTGTGGCACTTGTCCCCTTCATGTGACAAGTATGCTGGAAGCTAAACCAAAAATAGATGATCTCCCCAAACTTATACTTTAATCCATCTCTGAGATGACGGACAAATGACAGACAAACTCTTCCTTAGCAGAAAGTGGAATTTCCTCTCATACCCTCTCTACTCCCTTTTTGGGAAAGGGACAGTCTCTAGCAGCACTGGCAGAGGCAAAGCAGTGTTGGGCAGGAGCCCGGTTAGGACAGGGCTACTAATGAGCAACCTTCTCAGGTAAGACTCCTCACAATAACCTTAAACAATGTCCTTATTCTCAGAGCAAAAAGAGTGTTATGTCCCTTCCCTCCCTCCCATAAGTCATTTGTTAGCATGTGTTTATAGGTATGTTTATCAGTGTTATTAGGAGAGAACTCACAGAGCAGGCCTCCTCCCACGGCCTGAAGCACAGTGAGGACAGGGAAGAAGTACAGTGCCGCATAAATGCTTTTAAATCGATCAGACTTTCCTAAACCACAGGCAATTTTCTTAACCAGAAGAGGCCGAAGTAGCATCATTAACACAAGACAGAAGGCATAATATATAAACACAATGGTGTACCTGAAAAAAAAAAAAAAAAAGAGAAGAGAAATTCCTTAAAATGTGCAGTTCTTTTTCTCCTGCAGACTCAACTCAGAACCAGCGAATTTGGCGTTAGAGTCAGTCAAGTCTAAAGAATTTACAATCAAAGGATATAAACACAGAACGATAGGCTCTCTTTTCCTAGGGGAAACGGTCAAGATGCAGCAAAAAGGAACAAAAATGAAGTCTTACACTTCATAGCTAAATAGCCTGGACAATGCCACCTTCTTTGGTGACTCAGAAAGTCATTAGGTGTTGCTAAGTGTTTCACGCATAAAACAGCTCAATGCATGAAAAGACTTCAGGGATTGATTCTCATTGGTCCGTGTTATATCTGAACACTTTTTGCAGCTGTGAGAAGAGGCACGGACAGAAACACGCTTGTATAAAAGGAAGGGACAGACAGGAGTACAAAAAAGCCTTTACACTCACAGGGGATAGACTGCTTCGTGAGTGCAGTGCACTGTGGTGATGTAGTCGGGACTTGGATTGTAAAGCATTGTGTACCAGTCCGAAAGCTTCTTCACCTTGCAGGAGCGGATATGCAGAGAGCCGACAGGGTCACTGACGAGCAGCGTAACAATTGCTGCAATGCTGCACTCGAACAAGGCAGTGACATGCTGCAACAACGCGCTGGAGCTGTGGAAGGAGAAAGAGAGATTTACCACTATTTTACTAACACTAGAGGGAATCTAAACGCCGACTGCGAAGTGGAGGTCCGTGCAGTACAGAACCTCCTACAGAGTTAATACTCACCATGACCAAGGATAGGACAACGCTGCTTGAATAAAAAGTTAAGTATTTGAAGCTGAATGCGAAAACTCATTTACAATCTCAGATGATTTAGTGTGTAAAATGTGATTGAACAACATTCTGGCTTCTTAAATGAAAGCTTGCTGTAGCATAAGCATCCTGTCAGGTGAGGGACAGCAACACACTCTGTTGCAGTTTCAAAGAAAGGAGCAGTGAGGATAAGACACCACACGTCTCAGAAGGGATGACATCATTACACATGATATAAGCAAAATATTCAAAGCTGCAAGTCCTTGTTAAAGATGGTATATATTCATATATTAAACTCTCTCAGTCCCCTATGTTTTCAGTGTTTACTCAGAGTCATTACTTCTTCCAGAGTCATTACTTCTTAAAAGTTCCAGCCTAGCAGCTAATGGCCACATGCAGCTGTGGTTTTAAACCCCTGTTTTACAGAACTTCCTTGATGCACCATGCTGACGTAAAGCTGGTGCTATCAGCTATCAGCTGATGCTATCAGCTACGCTATCAGAACCAAAACCCAGCATACATATTCCTAAAGAGAAAACTCAAACCCATTCTCTTGTTGCATGTGAGCAGCACCGCTGATCAGGGCCTCCGCAGGCGGTAGGTCTGGCCCGGGAGAGAGGGGATGACACCACGTGCTGCTCCTGCGAAACCCAGTCCAGCCGAAATTGCCAGATGGACTGGCAGGGCACCACCGCATTAAAGAGGTACAGATCATGTCCTGGGGGCAGTGACTGGCAAGAAGGACCTGCAGGACTCTTACATTGGTAAATAACGCCCCCTCCAGCTGCCCAAAGTGTACGCGCTGCCGTATCAGCTCAACCAACAGCATGAACTGCCGGACAGTTCAATTCAGCATCTCAGATTGATCACTCATGGATGCGAGATTTCCATTTTTAAATAACTTTTTAAAAGGACGGGTATACAAACCTCTTTTTTCCTGAATACCATTCAATAAAGAACCAGTGTAAAACCAGGGGAAGCATGGCCATGAAGCCAAGGTACAGCCAGTCATAGCGGTCTGGAGATCCCATACATTCCCGGCAGATTTTGTTGTCATCGGTTCTTTGACCTCTAGGGCACACCTGCAAAAAGCAGAGCCTGTATTTACAAAGCATTCGAGTACCAATGACAAACCATTGCAGTTCCTGGAAGGACAGCTTGAACTAGTACCAGGGCAAGAAACGTTATCAGGTTTTTAAAGAAATGAAACATAAATCTCAGCAATTTCTCAGCTTACACTGGCCTTGCTCTCTCTGGCCCTCATTTCTTAATATAAACAAAGGTGAAGCGCGTTTAAAAGGCTTCATCCGAGACTCCCTTTTGCTCTCTCGCTGTCACTCCACCTCCCTTTCATCACTACTCTCACTCACCAGGCCGCTCACAATCACTGTACCCCCAAGTTTCTTGCTCCCCATTCATTCTGCCCTCCCTGGATCTTGCTCTCCCTTAGTACTCCACTAAAATCAGTGGGCAGAGCGATTTCAGCACAGCTCTCTGCACCATCCCGTTCTGTTCCAGCTTTCACAGCTCCTCCGCTCAGCTCCGGTTTACCACCAAGCCTTCAGCACCTCCTTTGGGAAATGTTTCACTGAGCAGCTCCTGCTTTCATAGAATCATAGAATCATTAAGGTTGGAAAAGACCCTTAAGATCATCAGGTCCAACCGTTAACCCAGCACTGCCAAGTCCACCACTAAACCATGTCCCTAAGCACCACATCTCCCCGGCTTTTAAATACCTCCAGGGATGGGGACTCAACCACTTCCCTGGGCAGCCTGGGCCAGGGCCTGACAGCCCTTTCAGTGAAGAAGTTTTTCCTGATATCCAACCTAAACTTCTCCTGGTGCAGCTTGAGGCCGTTTCCTCTCGTCCTATCGCTTGTTACTGGGGAGAAGAGACCAACCCCCACCTCACTACAGCCTCCTTTCAGGTAGTTGTAGAGAGCAATAAGGTCTCCCCTCAGCCTCCTCTTCTCCCGGCTAAACAACCCCAGCTCCCTCAGCCGCTCCTCATAAGACTTGTGCTCCAGACCTTTCACCAGCTTTGTTGCCCTTCTTTGGATGCGCTCCAGCACCTCCATGTCCTTCTTGTAGTGAGGAGCCCAAACCTGAACACAGGATTTGAGGTGTGGCCTCACCAGTGCCGAGTACAGGGGCACTATCACCTCCCTGGTCCTGTTGGCCACACTATTCCTGATACAAGCCAGGATGCCATTGGCCCTCGGCCACCTGGGCACACTGCTGGCTCATATTCAGCCGGCTGTCTACCACCACCCCCAGGTCCTTTTCCTCCAGGCAGCTCTCCAGCCACTCCTCCCCCAGCCTGTAGCCTTGCATTTTGGTAAGGGTGCTCTGCCCACCTTTTGCAGCCCTCATCTCCGCCTGCTCCCCAAGCCGCCTCGGGGCTGGGCTGCGGTGCTGCTCACAGCGGGATCCGCATCAGCCTCCGGAGCGGGGCCACCCCCCCTCCCCGTGCCCGTGCCCCGCTTACCCCGCAGTCCCCGTAGGTCTCCACCGAGCCGTTGACAGACAGGACGGGCCCGCCGCAGGACAACCCGAGGCAAGCGGGCC